GGTATGGCGTTTGTGGGGGGATGTGTGTGGGGGGAGGGTGGCTGGGGAGGGTTGTGGCATGCATGGAGGAGGGTTTGTCCACAGCCCGCCTCCCCTCCCCCCCTACTGCAGACAGAACCCCCACCAGCACTTCTTCAAGCCTGGGCTCTGCACTCCTACTGCTCCTGGCCCCAGGGCACCGGCGCGGGTCCCGTGCTCCCACTCAATGCCACTTCCCCCTCCCTTCTGCCACTGCTGCCCTTCTCATGCCACTTTCTCATCCCCCTCCACTCGCTACTCTAGCACCACATCCTAGCTGCGCAGCTGAGACCACACAACACAGCAGGAACCAGACTGGCCTGGCCAGCATCGCACAAAGCCAGCTGAGAATCACAGGGGCCGGACTGGTGCCTGCTGAGTCTGGCAGCCAATGCTGGAGCCAGGAACCACATGGTGCTGGAATAGTAGCAGCTGCAGGCAGAAAAGCAGGGAAATACCTGCGGCAGGCAGGAGGGGCATGGCAGCGAGCGGGCACGCAGAACGCAGCAACATCTGGGCAGGAGCACAGGACTGGTGCACCAGGGCCAGTGCCAGCAGGGGCCCAGGGTGGGTCATGGGCTGGCAGCGGCTCTATGGAGCTGGGCTGCACCAGTAGGGAGAGGGGGGAGCTAGCCTGGCTCCATACAGCCCCTGCCAAACCTAGGCCCTCCTGGGGTTCCTCCTGGGGGGGGGGATGCAGAAGCCCCCAGATCTGCGCATGGGACAACAGCAGGCTATGGTGAATTTTGGGGTGGCAGCAGCCTGCCTCCCAGTGCTGCTGCCACTCTTCCTGGAGCTCCTAGAACAGACCAGTGCTGCCACCGGCCCTAGCCTTGGTTGTAGGAATGAGGTGGTTGTGCTGGGAAGAGGGTTGTTGCTCCCCAAAAATTTGCCATGGCCGCCCCAAGCTGCCTGCCAAGCACTGGGGAGAACCTGGTGGTGCCACTAGCCCCATCCTGCAGTGGCAGCCTGTTATTGTCCCATACGCAGATCCAGGGGCCTGCATCCCCCCCAGGAAGAGCCCAGCACAGTCCTCCAGCCTGCAGCCCTCCTGGGGAACACATAGCAACAAGAGCCATGCCCCACACCTACTCACAGTTCCTGTGCTTTGCTGCTGGCTGCAGCCCCAGGAGCTGCCAATGGGTTGTGCTGCACCCCTCCCTCCGCCTCCTCTCTAGTGTCAGCCTCAATCCCTCCCTCCCTCACCACCATGGGAACATATCCCTATTTGTTACATTATAAAGTGGGTTTGCTTTATGCAAATTCAATTTATGCGCTGTTCTCCAGGAATGCACATACCGCATAAATCAAGGGAAACCTGTATTTTATAAGAAAGTTAAGAAAGAGAGCTGTGGCTATGGTCAGCAATTATTTGAGATACTGACTTCTGAGGTGAATCCAAGTCAGATCAGCACCCCCCAAAATTTCCATTTGATGTGTTGTCATAGTTGGAAAGAACAGAGACAAGCAGAAAACCATGCCTGCTTTATAGCTTCTCTACCTCTCTCTCCCCATCTCTCTCTCTCTTAGTTTGTTCAGGAACAGCATGGAAGGAACATACAAGTGTATAAGCACACACCAAATTACTAGGAAATTTCCACCATCAGAGTTATTAATTGCCATCACATCCCAAGAGTGGAGATGTGTAGAGGTCACGTAAAGACGCTATTTATAAGGAAGATCTGGTCCACTACTAATGTATATAAACTGGGATGAAACTCAGATATGTTTCTTTATTATTGTGTCTTTTAGAAGCATTTTATTATTGCTTCATAGGAAGCTGTTGAATATTATCAGTATTAAGAAATATTGAGTACTTCTAAACTGTCATACACAGAACACAGCTGTAATGACAGAACACAGAATAATGCAGCTGTATACAAAAAAGGAATGAACATTCATAAGCTCAGCACAAAAGTTGATTTTGCTTTTATGTTGCACTGAAAAAAAATTCTAAGCAACTTAAAGAATACTCATTAAATTATTAGGAAAACAATTGGGCAAGAAATAGACAAGAGACAGACATTTTCTGTCTTTTACATTTAAAAGAATTATCATGAAGCATTTAAATATTTAAAAAAGGAATTCTGCATTTTATGGGGAATATGAGAAATATTACCATTAATAGAAAAAAAAAGATACAATACCTTTAATAATGCCTCAAGCATATACAACCCAAGGAAATAGTAGTTTGAAATTTTCAGTTGTTGAAGAAGCTGGTCATGGCAGGCTGGCAAGTAATTAACTATCATAGGAAATATGTTTAACAATGTTACAATGTGACTTGCATACTCAAATTCATCTGTGAATACTATAAAATGACATATCTTCAGAAACTTGTTCCTGCAAATGAATTTTAAGAAAATAATTATTCGGTGACTTTTTGTTATAATGAATTAATTTTGCTTGGTTTAAAAATAGGTAAATAAGGTAAATATTGACTGAAACAATGGTAGGCACCAATTAAATGTACTTTGCCATTTTAACAATAAGAGATACTTTCTTAATATTACCTTACAATATGCTTATACAAAAGCTTAGGTAAATTAAGCTACTGTATATTTACTAAATGCATCCAAAACCATGTTTCACCAAACAGTGATTATAGCCAACACACCTTTTATTATATTCTAGGAAAATGGGATCTAGCTAATCGATCATACCAAACTATTAAAAAAATCTAGAATTATCAAATGAGAATGTAATAACAAGTGAAATCTAATGATGATGGTGGTAGGTCTGATGGCTGCTTGCAGATGTTAAAAAAAACAAAACAAAATGGTACTTCACTTTAAACTTGGTGTGTACCCACACTGAGCTCAGAGGGTGCCCAGAAGAGGCAACACGCTAGTTGGACCCAGCTTGCCCAACATCTAAAATATTGGGCACTTTAGTGGGGCTTTTTTGGTACTTTTATCTAATAGCTGATTGAATCAGCTTTAGCTAAAAGTGCCAAAAAGCCCTGCTGAAATGCCCGATCTATACTCTATCTATACACTATGCTGGGGGGCGGAGTCAAAGTAATGCGCTGCTGCTTTCAGTAAAGTGTGTTTGGTGTTTTTTGAACATCTGCAAGCAGCCATAGAGATCTTTCCACTTACACAATACAAGACGAAATCACCATAAGTGGCAGTGTAGAAAGATACTAAAGATTCTTACATGCTCCTTGAATTCAAGGAAGCTGTAATCATTACAAAATGTGGCTGCAGTTAGACCAGAAAGTGGCTGAAAAGTTTTGAACACAGCCCTGTAATCTATGAGGAGATCTGCTTATGGCAAATTGTTCCACAGAACCTCAGGTTCCATGATAGGTCATCAGGGGTTTAGCGAAGAGACAGGGGTTAATGGCAACCACCATTGCCATGGTGGGTTGCCTGGTTTCATGTCGGGCTGCATGGCATGCAAAACCAAGGGTAGGGGTTCCATAGCAGAAGTGATATGAAAGGGTTCTTTGACTTTAGGACGTTTGAAAGCCACTGATTTAGGGAAAAGCTACCAGAGCCATGGAAGAGAAAATGAAATTGACTGATCCTGGAGAAGGAGATTAAAAGGAAGTGATTGTCGAAAGGAAGGCCTATGAAAAGGGGAGAAAAAGAGAGACCAGGGATAAAGCAGAATAGTGGGAAAGTGGAAAAACGGATAGATGCATAGAAAATGATAAAAGGACCAAACAGAAACTATAAAAAGAAAAATGAACTGGTGAAAATAATAAATAGGAAAGAAAATGGATAAAAATCCCTTTACACTAAGGTTTATATACTTTTAAAATATAACATGATGTACTATTTAAAAAATGCCAGTGCTTTAGTGTATTAATAACTCTATAAAGAAAAGAGACTCTTTTGTAATCTGGCTCTTTAGTGCCACTGGCTGCCTTCTCCTCTGAACATGCTTCCTTATTGCCTTGCCCTCCTTTTCAAATATTCTCTTTCCCTTCATTATTAAATTGCCATCCCATTCCATTTTCTACAAAACAGATTGCTCAGATGTTTGGTAGTCCTAATGTGTATGTGCTGTCCCGCTTCTAAATACAACTTTCTAGAGTACGTGCACAATTTTTGTATTGCCAATCAGGTGAGGGCAGAAATGTAACCTTAGCCAAATATAGGTAGCTACTACTGCATGACATTTGGACATAGTTCTTCAAGCATACCCATGAGATGCAGTGTTGAGCATTGCAACATCTAACTTTTAGGTCCCTGGCCACCAAAGTGGAATTCAGAACCCCGTGTTAGGCACTTAGGCACTGTATAAAGTGTAGGGAAAGACAGGCAACACACAATAAGATCCACAAAAACCAGTACACAGAGTTGGGAACTACCCCAAATTAGCCAATAGGAAATAATGAGGACAGCCAGCCAGAGTTTATTAGTGTGCAAGTAACACCCTAGGTAAGCTATTTCCAGTTCGGGAAGTAATGTGCGTCACCATGGCACTGTTTGGTAACAAAATTGAGTGGTATAGACCTACCCTATGAACTGAGCCAAGATGACTGCGATGGGGATGTGGCCACACCCCCTTCATATGTGTGGTGCACGCACAGTGAAGAAAGCTCACTGCCCACGTGCCACAGAGTCCAAGG